GCTCTGGTTGACATGGGTCTGAACTTTGGAGATGATCTGCCTGCTAAGCTATAGCACATTTATGATCTGTGGGTTTCTAGTCTGACTTGGCTTCATTTCCTAACTTTTCATTTTCTTTTTAGGGAACCAGACTGTTCACTGGGTTTGGCAGCTGATGGCTATTAACAGTCACACTCCAATAACCAAGGGATAGTTAGAACAGCATTAAATATTTGCACTGTGCAGCAAGGCTATACTTCATCTCAGTACACAGGAATCCCATGCTCTTTTCACACTGGAAGAAAACCCACCTTATTGCTATTCAAATCTATCTGTCTGCCTCTCTTCCCATACTGTCATTACGCATGCAAGGCCTGTCAGTGCCATTGACACAAAAAACCCCTCTCGCTTTATGCCAGCACCAGTGACACCTGAAATAAAACAAGACACGTATTACTGCTTTTGAAAAATTTGTTTATTTGGCCTTCATTTTCTAATAAGGTTGCTTATTGCATGTCTTTACTTCTCCTGCCCTGCAAGGGTGCATGTTTTTTCTCACAGAACAGCTTATAGATAACTCTATATGAAAAGTGGGTTTTGGCAACTGAGGTTTGTCCATTTTGTGTGTTCCTGGTTAAACTGTGAAGCTTTGTTTTGAGCACAGTTTTCTCCCCTCATCATCTTAACTGCCATTTTGAGTCTAATCTTTTAGGAAATATCCTACATAGGCACTCCTAGTGGTCCGCTTTTAAAAAGCAAAATTTATTTTGGCCTCTGCAGGAAGCATTTAAAGCACATAATGAATAATGTTTGACACAGGAGTCAGTTAGCAGTCATTTTAGATTAACAACACTGCTCAGAAAAAAACCTTGCAGGGGATTAGACCAAGGGAAAGATGCTTAGGCAATAACCTCTGAGCCAGGTGGTTGCTGAACTATTCACAATAGACATAACTATCTCTGATGGTCTTAAGTGTGAGAATTATCTCCAGGAAGAGAACTATGAGTTAGTGAGATATAAAACAATAGGCTCATGCTCTAATACAAGCTGTTAGCACCGCACATGTTCTCTTCTCATTTAATCTTCAAGACTTGCAGACAGTAGCAGTTGGTGCCCAAATTAAGACTTCCTCTCTCCCTTTGATCTTATGCAAAAACTAATGAATTGTATAATCTCCAACACCTCTGAAATCCCGCTGTTTAAAGGGAAACAATCCCTACCTTTGCCATGCCTGTCTCAATTCACTAAATGGGAGCTATATTTAACAGCAGGCCAATCACATGATCGCTGACAAGGAACAGCACAAGGATCTGTAATCCTAATGCTCTGGAGCTGTGATTGCTATAAATCCTTTGCAGAATGATTTCTTTTAAATCTCAAACATGTCATCACACTTTTAATTAACATTTCTTTATGAAAACTGTGGATAAGACCCTTTAAATTAAACATTGTTCCCAGACTTGTCATCTTGAAACAGTGTGCATTTCTATTGTCATTCTCATGTAGCATATTTTACTTCGCTTTCTAAGTAAAGCTTTTTAAATTTCCTTTCCCCTCCTTTGCCTTCCCTGTCTTAACCCTCAAACAAGTAGTAACAGCTAGCACCATTTTTTAAGCGTAAACAAATAGCTTTTAGTTAGTTCATGTACAAAAGGGAAAATTCAAATAATCAAAACACTAGCAATGAGGACAAGCAGAGGTACTGCCTCACTTGAATTCTTACCCCCTTCACCTCTTCAGTTTACTGTCCAATTGAGCTTACCATCTTCTTTACAAAGAGAAAGAGATGAGAGAGGAAAATGATCTGTCCAAAGCAACAAAGAGGATCACCTGCAGAAAGGGAAACCTTTATTCCTGATTACCAGCTCTTAATTCTTCTCAGCTCTTTAGCAGGTAGCTTTCTGAATACCAGGCCCATTTCCTTGCCTGTTGATCTCAGCAGTATTGCTACTCAGTTATGTGGCACTACAGCAAGCCTAAAATGCTCAATGCTGGGCACAGGAGATGCAGTCTTATTTCCAGCAAAATGGAAGAGTTTTATCTGAGTGAGGGTGATATGCTTTGGCCAGTGGCTAGTGGAAAATGGATTTCCAATATTTGTTTTCCTGGAAGTGACCCAGGTAAGAACCCTGGGTTTGAGTGATGGCTCGAGCTCAGTGACAGACTCACTTCAGTTATCTCATCTGGGATTTGAGACAGTGGCACATGTCACTGGCAGACAACTCTTTCAACAATGTTTTTCAGGAAGCTCAGTTTTCTAACATGCTCCTGTGTGGAATAAGTGGGTAGAGGACCAAAAAGAGTGGAAGAATACTTGTGACAGAGAATATTAAGGATGGCACCATTATCCATTATATAGGCAAAAAAGCCCTTAATCAGTGAGAAGCAGGAAAGAAACACAGATCCTGAAAAGAATCCAGAATGAAATTGTCAGGCAATTTGTCAGCACAAATTGAAATTATTTAGCATGATTTAGCAATATGTTTCTAAGTATCTATATATCATCCAAGAACATCCATTGACAGATATGGGAAAAATAATGAATGGCTAAACAGAGCAGGTCAGACTCTGATGCCCTTCCATGAATTGGGTAGTTTATTCCTCAGCTGCTCCCACTGGCTTCAAATTATGCTTTGTGTCTGACACTCAGAGCCAAATGTCAGGAGCCCAAGCTCAGCAGGCACATCAGTGGAAAAGCTCAGAACAGAACCTCTGACTTGACTCTTTGCATCCTGCATTGAAAACAAGGCATAGCATAGAGAAAGAAAACGAGAAAGAACCCCGCACTATATTATGACTACCTTCCTTTACATATCCTCCCTTCCTTTGCAGTAGTTATGCTGCCCTGTAGCTTCATTGGTATGGTAAATAATGTTTATGTATTTATATTCTGTTTTAAATAGGACATATTATCTAGCCAGGACATTGATAAAGTTGCTTCAAAAGGAATAGAAAGTGTCATGGATGCGGAGCAAAGGGAACAGCAAATTTAACCACTAGACCATTGTGTTTTTCTTTACTGACAGCCAGATTCATGCAGTAAGTATGGTGTGGCATATGTGACCATACATTAAAAGCAGGGACTGCAACATGTCCTTCCTCACCTGTAAGCTTTTCTTGGTTAAAATATATTGCATGGATACATCCAAGTTAAAGAATTAAAAATAACTATGAGTTGTAAAAAATAACATTCTTCTGATCAACCCATAAAGCCTGAAGATCATGCACACGGTAGCCTCTTTCAGTTTTGTTTGCAGTTCCATTTTCACTCCAATATATTAATTCCTCTTCCTCTCTCCTATGCTAGACCATGAGAAATGTAAAGTCCAAAGCTCTTTCAAGAGTGGCACTATGAAGAAACCAGACAAGTCTTATTTGCACAAACCTGTTTGTGAGTAGGTCCACAGACAGACAAGGCCTGTACATGCAAGCTTTTTCAGATAGAAACTGTGAGCCCGAGTCCTTGATGGCTTGCGATGGTGGAGTTCGATGGCCCCATGAGGATTTTCATAAGCGCCTAGTTTGAAGCTCCTTGATGTACTTGCAGGGAACCCACTAGGTGCTCTCTAAGATGACAGACCCTGTTGTCCAATGTATCAGACTGGATACTGGGCCAAACAAGGGAACTGGGATCGTAGCTTTGATTTTTCCCCATGCTCTTTGCAATACACAAACTGTAGTAACAACATTCAATCTCTGTGTGTCCCTTGTTCCATGCCATGCAGTAAAGTGCGAAGACTGCACTGACTTAACTTTCTTTGATGAACCCTAGCATTAATTTTTCATCTCTCCTCTGGTACAAACACCAAACTGATGTCCCTTCCCTTCCTTACTGCTGAGATCACTCTTGAACACCCACCTAGTCACTGAAAGTCATGTATAAAATGTTGAGATTCAGCATGTACCATGGTAACCCATTTCCTCTTCCCATTTCAGTATGATAAATGGACGAAAGCTGGATACATACCAATACAACACCAGGAGTTACTGTATGACAATTTTTTATGTATCAGTATCAAATTACATAGCAAAGTAATGAATGCAGTGTCAGATCACCTCTTTGAATACTGTAAATACAAACAAAATCCACCATATCACTTAATTATCCAAAGTAAATTAAAAGTTTAAAAATGTGCGTTTCAGAGATTCCATTTGGCATATCCTGTCACTATATCCTGCATAAATATTTCTGTACCTCATTTTCACTATGTGTACCTTAATTAAATACAGCCTCTAGAAAGCCCACATGGAGGAGATAGGATCTATCCGTATTTTTATGTTCATCATCAACTCATCCATCTGCCCTGAAATCACTGAAGCTACCTATCTGCTATCTCACCTGACAGATGAATATGACTGTACATAGAGTGGCCAGACCCTGCTCTCATATAGTGCCAGACCTGAAGCTACTGGCATCATTGCAAGATGACGGAATGCATGACATCAGCTTTGGATCAGGTCCTTAAATTATTGACAAAACAGTCATTTCACTTTCATGGAAGCTGGGCTGAACCTGATGGCCAGATTTTGTACACTTAAATAGGTAAGGAAATTCTTGGGACATTTACACCGCTCTTTACACTAGTGTGACCCCACTATACAGAAAGAACAATTCCTGATTTATAAAGTCAGGTCTGTTGATTTCACGTAAGTTGAGTAGGATTTGGCCACAGCTGGATACAAAATAGATAACTCAACACATGTATTTTAATGGTGTTAATCAGCAGTGTCATTTACATGGGAATTCCTATAAACTGTGTAAACAGAACAATTTTTCCTGATGGATGAGAGAATAAGCTTCACTTAGCACTGTTTGCAAAAGTTAAGATTACTGAGACATTGTAGTTGTATGAAAAGGAAAATACCATAGAAATACATATTTTGTTAACAATACAATGAACAAAAGTACAGAAGTGTTGATGCAGGTAATTGGAAAGGTGAGGAAAGGGAAGGAGGAAAAATTTAGGCAGCAATTCCATGGCAACATGGGAATTACTCTTGATCCCTCCAATTTACCAGTATCAGTGGAAGTCAGGCTTCTCTGGGAAGGTGCAACCTGAACGCTTGATAATTACGCTGGCTGCATAATGTCCAGCCCGGATGCACTCAGTCACTGGCTGGTCATAGACGAGTTGTGAGAGAAAGCCTGTGGAACAAAGCAGGAGAAAAAAAGAAGGAAGAAAATGGTTAGATTTGGGTTTTAAGTGTATCAGTTTACCACAGGGCAAAGCCCTGAAATAATGGCCTAGCCGTATGTACATTTGTAGCCTGGGTACTTTAAATTTAGTATTGTGCTTGAGTGACATGCTGAGATGGAGTGCTGCTGTTCTTACCTGAAGTCTCCATTTGGTAGCTTCTAGTAAATGAAAGATTATCAAGACTGATCTTTATTAGTGCCCTCAAAATGATTTTACCAGAGTTCGTGCTCTCTTCTTTTCCAGAGAGAACCCCTGATTCCTTAAATACCATTTTAAAAACAAAGAAGTTTTCCCTGCTGAAGAGAGCTCCTGTTCATACTGGCTACAACTACAGCCCCACACAACTGTCACTCTGCAAGCAAGAGAAAGGCACATAACAAATAAATATTATTTATATTCACAGTTATAGATGTTCACAATGAAAAGAAGGTGAGAATTTTTCACCTGATGAGGAAAGTTAGATAACATCTGTTGCCCCTGATTATGGGAAATTTAACCTAAGACTTCAGAAACAGTGGGTACCTTTTAGCATGTTCAGAGTCAGGGCACTTTGTTAACTGCTTTAGCTAACAAAGCCCTAGCATGCATGGCTTACAAAACCAGAAATCACTGGGAACTGAGTGTTTTGAAAACCAGAGAACCTCTTTAAATGAATATAAGCAGACAGTCCTAAAAAGGAGATTATTCACAGGTACTTGGAAAAGTTAAGTACAAGTGGCACCAGAAATGGAGTCCCTCATTCCCGAAACATTTTGTCTCGGTTGAAACTATTGTGATTGAAAGCATGACAGAACTTAAGGCAGAGGTGAAACATCTATTTTACATTTGTAACAGGTTTTCAAGATGTGAAAAGTAAACTTAGTATCTTAGAATTTAAAACTCCACTCTATTATTCTAGAGGTAGTATTTTATTCACTTTTATACTGTTTTTAATATATTTCAGATGTATCTCTCTTCCTCATCCAATCACAGAAGGAAAGTGAGACTTGCCCAGGAAAATCACAATTCCAGCAAGCTGAAACATGTTCTTTTTAAAGCTTTCACCCACCATTTCAAGTTCCCATGTCACACTCTGACAGGCCTTGGGCCTTGATAGTACAAATCTAGTCTTGAAACCACGTCTCACATAAGGACTATGTAGCTCATAGGTACCAATTTCTGACATATTACAGATTTTGATTCAAAGATGATACGTTTTGCTAGCTTGCTTCCAAATACACTTTCTCTGTTCAGCTTGGTTAGTATTGGAACAAAGACTCTACATTATATTGTGATGCTCTCATTTAACTTGTGCTCCTTTTCTAAATATTTTCTTTTGTGGCCCATTAAAGCATATTTTTAAAAGATTATAAAATATTTTATCCTACGCAATAATGTCTGCTCCTTGAAGATTAAAAGTAATGTAAAATATGAAAAATAAGGTTAGATTAATGAAGGATAATACTGGTGAGCAAAAGACTCAGTTTTCATGAATTACTAAATCTATCTTGGCTTCTCAGTTATGACTGATAGTGAAAAGAAGCCTAGTTGATGTATAGCTTTCTCTAAACTGCACTGAATGGGAGAAGAGTTTGAAACTACTAAATCTATAAATCAAACACTTTTCATTGGAATAGGGAGGCCATCGAAAGTAGGTATTTTAGTTGACAACTAGGGGAAAACTTGTATGTTTCTGACATCAATACTTTTCTAGAGAACTACATATTAGCTGGAATTTCACAGATACTGACTAACACTAGCTGGGAAAAAATGACTGCTTCACCAACAAAAGTTAAGTCCATAAGCACAAGTGGAGAAGACAGTTTTTTTCAGTATACAAAGATGAGCATCTGAAATGGGAAGAAATTGTGCTGTGAGTGCTATCATTGATGGCAGTCAGGGGATGACAGACAACACAACTGTGGCAGGATGGTCCAGCTGTAGTAGCTGAATAACAGTTGAGAAATTCAAACAGCACGCCTGGCAGAAATCGGACCATTTCTGAATAACAAGATGAAAATGGTCTGCTCTCCATTAAATTAACATGCATTCTTAGGAGGAACTTTCTTGGATATGCAGAGAATGTCAATCATTAAATTTAATCTGCCTGGGAGGCAAGAGCTTGCCAGTGTGCTTCTGGGTTGTTAAAACCTGGGAGCAAGTTGTAACCGTATGTAAAACGAGGCTGTTAAGACAGTCCATTTCTGACTCAGTAAGAATCAAAGATGCACTGGGCAGGCCTCCAAAGGCAAACACAAGGCTAGCTTTTGTGCAGAGCATGAATTTAGAGAGGGCTTTATCCATGAAAGAACAACTGTCCTCTATGTTTATGACACAGGCATCAAACATACATGAAGATAAGAAAATCAAACAACAGTAGCACCATAAAACATGAATTATTTTTCAATACCACCTAGACTGAGACTGTCAACACCTCCCAGGCTCACTGTAGTATCAAGCTAGCATGTATCTTTTGTCTTCAGTGAAGCTACTTCTTGTTTACTCTGATCTAAGTTAAAGCAGAATCAGGTGAAAAAAACATCCTGTTCTAATTGGAGATAGAAATGAGAGATCTCTGTGATTTCAGAGTGGTGGTGAAATGACATTAAGTACTGCTGTCATACATGAGATATGTAGAAACTGCAGTGGGGAGTTTGCCCTCAAACCATTCTCTTGTCTGTTGACTTTCTCTTAAAAGGTATGTATTTCATAGATGAAATAGAAATAGCAGTATCTGACACAATATCGCATGGAATGACAATATAAATACACATATCACAAACACAGAACTACATCATATACTAAGACTAGGCAGTTGGCAGAGCAGACCCAGAGGGAACACCAGAAAGCACTGGTATTTGAGCAAAGAAACAAAGAGCTCTATCAGGTCAGCTGCCTTAGCTGCAGAATGTTCTTTTTAGTTAATGCAGTAAAAAGCCACATAGTCAGAATATAATTCAGAGTTTGCCTCCTCCAGTGTATAAGGTACTGTGATGCAAACCCCATGAGTCATACTCTCAAAGGATGGATTCAGATCTCTGAGTTCCAGCTGAAGAAGTTACTGACCCATATGTTTTTCACCATCCTTCTTTGCTGCTTGTATAACGTGTTACTCTGTCAAAATGAGCCAAGATTAGTTTAAACAGTAAGGTGTTGAATAGTAGATCTTTGCTAACCCAGCTGATTGAAAATGCAGTGGGTTAGTGAGTACTCAAACAGCTCTACCAGCGAGCAGGGCAGTGGAGGGAAGATGATAAGCAGTTGAAGGCTGTAATCTCTTTAAGTTGCCATGTCTGGAAATGCAAGAAGATAAGTGAACATGGCTTCAGGCTTCACACTCCTCTACAATTTCACAGACAGAAAGGGCAGGAATGAACTCTGATCCTGTATAACGGACCTGGGATCACAGAACTAGATCATCCCAGCACATACTAAAGTGGCGCATTAACTATTTTAACTTCTTCCATGGCCTGAACTAGTTCCTGGCTATCATTGGAGTGAAGTGCATTTTGGCTACACAAGACAACCTCACTTCAAATATTTCACCAAAACAAGCAAGCAATAATGTCTACCATCTTCCATTTGCCACTATTCTGCACTAGCATTTCTACACTGCTGAAGCTGTAGACAGTGTTACATGCGACGAGTACCACTCTCTTCACACTAGAACACAACGGCAAGAACCAAACTCAAGGCTTTCCCACTTGTCTGCCTTTTGCCCTGACGTCCAAAGTGTTTATAGACTAAAAGAAATTGCAGTTGCAGGATGTCTAGTAGGCCACCTTGCTGTAATTAGCCATCTCAGTAAGCTTTCAGAGTAGACTGGGATGCCTTTTGTCCCTCACAGGTGTGGACATCCAAGTAACCAGCTTGTACCTAGTCATGATAAGAACTCATTTGGAACTGTGTCCAATTCATCCCACTTATTCATCAACTTCCTAGAAAGCAAAGACAACTTTGCTTCAAAAGCTGCTTTAAACCTTAGAGTGGTACAAAATGTATTTGCATTCCTAGATGATGGAAGTGATAACATACCAACAGCTACTTTTGGCCCATAATTATTTATTTTCTGCTCAGTAGAGAAAGGTATCTCTGAAATCACTTTGCTCTGAAAAGTGTGCCTGAAATAACTGACAGTTAATCTTTATTATCGTCAGCTTCCTTACTACACATGCTCAAAGACAATGCTTATAATTGTTAGGTCTGCAAACAGAATTGGGGACAGAAAACTCAAGTTGCTTTCTTCCTTTTTGTGCTCACCACCAAATGAAAAGTTCTGCAAGCCAAGTGCCAGAAGTGGTGCTTGTGCCTCAAAATCCAGACCCAAACCAAGGCCCTCACTGAAACCAGCTCAAATCTCTTCGGGAATGTCAACACAAATCTGACAAGACACAGCAAGACAGTCCACTGACTGACACAAAAGGTGTTGTCTTTACTTTGTTACTTCTAAGAGTTGAGTAGCACTTAAAAATCATTAAAGGAGAACCCAGTTCATTTTCTTGTGGCACAAGCAAAACAGACATTTCAAAGGCAATTTCACTGAAATAAGTGATTCCTCTGAAAGTTTTGTTTCCTGATTATCAGTGGTAATTCTGAATGAATGCCTAGTGTCAGTGCAGTTGGATAGGAATGTGGGAGTCCAATAGTGGAGATTTTAAAACAGTTCTGGTCTGCTTCAGTAATGGTTTAACAACACTTAAAAACAGCTCATACTGAAGACAAATGTTTCATTTCAAATTGTACACTTGACAATTAATTTTAATGACTGTTAATTACTAATGCTGTCTGGAAATCCGTTTATAGCCTCCGACACCCAGCTCCCCCACTACTCGGCTTTCTGCAGTCTCTCTCATACTTCCAACCTCTATAAAATGCCCAAGGCAAAATTAATGTACTTTTTTAAATGCAAGAGAGAAAAGAAAAAAAAAATCAATTATCAAATGCATTAATTATAAACAATTACAAGCTG